AGACATAAAAATAATATTTCTTGAGCCCCTGTCTAGATATAATGAAAAAAAATTAAAGGAAAGTGGGTATATGAAAAAGTAAATTTGCTGTCTTCACATGTACAAGCCATCAATACTACTTTTTGCCTATTGAATATAATAAAAAAAAATAAGAAAATTATAATTTATGACAAAGATTTAGACAAGGTGATGCTTGCTGTATATCATAATCAGATTGATCTAAAGTTTTAAATATCATGCAAGGTACAGTGATGGAAATGTTTCAACTACAAAGAAGGGTTGCCCAATCTGATGGTATATTGAAACTTAATCAAGGAGCATTGGTAGCTGCTGGGTATATAAAATTCATATATGTTTAATTTTATACTTAAGCAGTACTGACAACAAGTTTTAAATATCTGATGACAAGAGAATATAGAATTTTTTATACATATTTTAAATATACTGAAAGAGTTATGAAAAACAAGTCAACAATACCAGTATGAAGAAAAAGTTGTTACGATAAACAGTCTCCTGTTTAATTATGCAATGGATATTTTTTCTACTGATATGACTTCGAGTATATAGCAAAAAATTGTCAAGTATGAATTTCCAAGGTTAGATGGAAACAAATATGAAGCAATTGAAAAAGATATCTAAGTTTTTTATAATAAAAAGGAAATCAAACTTAACTATTTCTTAAGTTTCTATGAAGCATGTGTATTCTGGAGGTATAGCAAATTTGCTTATACTGATACAAATTTCCTGGACTATACAATTGCAGCCAGCTGCTTGAGAGGAATTCACTCTGAAAGTGATCTAGAATTTACTTGCCATGAAGGGAATTTCGATGGAGGCAACTTCTATATGGCTAAATAGGAAATAAAAGTAGAGATGATAGATATTTTTATAAAAATAATAAAAAAGTTTAAAATATAAAATACTAAGTTTTTATTTAAATTTTTATACAAGACAACACACTTTTTTGCTGGCCAAAACATGAGTTATATGGCATAACTGTTTTGTGAAGGAAGATATAACTAGTAGTTTATCATAAAACCTGGCAAAAAAAATAGTAATAGCAATTAAAAAATGAAAAGAAGGAATCGAAAAAGAAAAACATGAAGTATTGGCAAGAGCAATTGCAACAAGATCTTCCTACTTTACTAGTACTGAAAGAATTGATAAAAAAAATCAAGGCAGTAGCAGTACTGCAGAAAATTTAAATTATACAAATATATATTTTAATTTAGAAGAAAATGATTGTAAATAGTAATAAATTATAAATATTAAAAATGTAAACTATTAAATAAATGTTTATAAATAAAATTTAAAGATAGCAAGTAAATATTAGGTAGAAAAAAATGAATTAAAAAAAAAAATACAATTAAAAAAAAATATTAGAAACAGAATGAATATGAATTAAATAAAAATAAATCTGTTCAGATATAAATCGAATCAAATAAAAACTGATTCGATCAGATTCAGATCAGATTTACCTAAAATTCAATTTGATTTGATCTGTTGTGATCTCTATCTGTAGATAATGAAGTTAACAGTTGAAAGGGTCTTTACTTGAACTGCTAATAGAGTGATAAATCATTTTTGAAGTTGTACTTAGAGTTTTAATAATTCTTTAAAATATAGATGAGTAAGTTAAATAAAAATTTAACTTTAATAATACATTATCCAATATAAAGTATATATATGTTTAATAAAACACACATACCTAGCCTGACAGAGGGTTTAAAAAAAAATAGTTTAGTGCAAAAGTCTTTGAACTAATATTTTTTATTATAATTATAAATAATTATTGAATTTGAATAAAACTTTGATATTTTTATCATAAGAATATCATGATTATATATTTAAAGTTTTATTAATTATTAATAAATAATTTATTATAAAATATTAATTTGAAGTAAAAAAAATAGTATTATTTTATTGATGAATTTTATATATAAAATTTATATATAAAAAATAGTAAAAAATTATTTATAAAATCAAGAAAATTTTTTTAATTTATAAAAAAATAACAAAAAATTTCTCATTAAATGCAAATAATTTTTTTGTAATTAAACTATTTTAAAAATTCTTTAAAATTTTAAAAAATTTTGATTTTATTATAATATCTATATAAAATTTTAAAAATTGTTAACTATTTGATTTAATTTATAGTTAATAAAAAAATTTTTTGTTGATAAAAAAATTATAAAAGATTTATTTTATTAAATTATTTGTTTTTATTTAATAAATCTATTCATTAAAATAATTTCAATAAATTTTTTTCATTTATAATATACAATGAAAATTTGAATATTATAAAAAATTGATTTTTTATTTTCAAATTGAACATTTATAATTTTTTTAAAATTTTTTAAAAAAATTTTTTAAATAATCTTATTTTCTATATTTGAACAATATAAATATAAATTTTTATTTTATTTTATTTATTGATTATCAAATTATGAATAAAAATTACAAAACAATATTAATTCAAAGACTTTTGTATCAAACTATATATCATAATAATATAATAAACTCTTTCCACTGATTCTCTGATCACATACAAAAAAGATGTTTGCAAGAAGTTTTATACTTTCATTAAAACAACTTGAAACTTGTCTTCATGTATCTATTCTATCTTTTTTTACTTATATATAAACTTCTTTGAATAAAAACTTGGGTTTTTAGTGACCTAAAAAAACTCAAGTATGCACCTTCTCTATTAAGGGTAAGAAGGTTCTAAGAAGTAAAAGGATTGGCAAGTGGAGTATTACCTTACAAAACTAGAAATAATAAAAAATAGAGATTTTGTTAATAGGAAAAGACTTATTATCCACCTTCTCACATACTGTCATTATATTTTTTTAAAGTGTCTACTATTTTTCATAGTTTTCTTGGGGGATTTTGATTACCTTAATTTGACTCTGAATTTTTGATAACATAATGTCATCTGGTATCTGATTGGTTGATATTAAACATATTAGTAACTGAATATAAACAAGCTCCTACAAGTTACTTCATATGTTCAGATAATATTATTGATGATTGAAAGAGTTGATTGATATCCTGTGTTTACTTCATTTTTTTAATTAAATTAATTTATAGATAAGTTCCATGAAATCAATAAGATACAAGTAACAAGTCTCCAGATGGTAAAAAAACTGCTATTTGTTCAAGCTAAGATCTTTCTTCCTATCATCTCAATCAGGCAAAGTTCAATATTAAGGTTTCCTTTTTATTTCAGTTAAGTAATAAGATTAAATAGTCTCTAGTCTATACTAAATTTCAACCCTTTGATTACAGTTGAGAATATATTTTTCCAGAAATTATTGAAGATATCACAATTGACAAGGATCTCTATTATTTTTGAGACCTTCTCACTATTACAAAATAAAAAAATTATTGAAAAATCTGGCCTTTTAAATAATGAAAGATATATATTAGTAAAATTCCTTTAATTAAATATGATTGTTAAAAGATATTATAGTGAAACAACATGACCCAGTTTTTATTAGGTTACATAATAACCTGGGATCTATCATAAGTTACCTCTCTACTGCAGGTAAATAAAAAATCTCAGTTCAAAAAAAGTTGGGATCAAGTATATTCTAAAAATAAAGGCTTTCACTAGGTGATAAGTCTTCTCGGATGATACACAAGAAGGAAATCAAGATTAAGTATAGATAAGTTCATCAGATGGTCAAAAAAAGAAAAAATATTTCAATTGAGTATTTTTTATTAAAAAGAGGTCTTGAAAAGTAGATTTTTGAAAGAAGTTGGAAATATTTTTTTTTCAATTTTTACTTTTTTATTTTCTTATAGTCTATTTAGACATTTTTAGATATCCACCTTTCTCTTTTTTAAATCTATTCTTTTATAGTTTCTTGTATTTCAGAAGCTTGGTATAACATATAATAGTAACAACTTACTGACAATAATGTAGTAAACTAGGAGGGTTTTTATTCAAAGATATTGTGGAGTAAAATATTGTTCTTAAAACTGAACTTAGAGACTTTTATGCTTACAATGGATTAGTTAGTTTAGAATAATAGTTTAGCTGTAGTATATATCATGCTACTCGAATGAAAATGTGCTTATGTTTTCAATTGATTAATAAACTGACAATCTAGTCTGACTATGAGTACTCAAAAATATCATAATAATATAATTGTAGCTTAAAAAAATTGTTTGAAACTTTAATATAAACATTTGTATTAATTTTTTTTCTTTATTTTTATATTTATTACAAAATACTAAAATTTCTTATAAATATTTTCAAAATTATTACTAAGCATTACTTTCTATTTACATATTGCAAATGATATTCTTTCTGATAAAAGTAGTATGAACAGTTATAACAAATAAGAATCCGGTAGTATATTGTGAATATAAAAGAGCCCAAAACTATTAGATATATTTTTTACAATTGGTAAATTACCTTGCACAAAGATAAGTGTTGACTTTGTAAACAATTATACATTATACATGTTTATATGATCACTAATGTTCTTTGTTCTCTTATACTTTTAATTAAATGACATATGGTGAGAGGATCCCTTCCAAATTTGCATGGCATTCAAGAATTTGCCCTCGGTTTTAAATTCGAAGGTTATAACCGGGTGGCTAATGGTCGATCACGTGAAACAAACATTTTGACTTTAATATAGATTAATTAAGTAGAATATTCAACCCCTGAGTCCATATCAAATGGAGTAAGCGCTTAGGAGACAAAACACGGAGATTACAATTAGAGAGGAAAAAATGGTAATATTAATTCCATTAAAGGTGATGTATATATTCTTTATCAGTTACAGAAATGTTAAACAAAATGAACAGCTGGAAAAATAGCATGGTACGTAATCACGTACATATTGGTTTTATCAATATTGTGGCAGTGCATAGGATAGAAAATAGGCTTAGTTTAGAGCCGAAGAACGTTACATTGTAGTGTGGCGGCTAAACCACATGTGATATAATTTTTAATTGTCACGAGGAATACAACATAAAAATTCACTTCAAAATTTCACATCTCCACAAAACTCGATAGCACTCATGCTAATCCCCGAACCAAACTCTTCATGAATCTTCTTCCCCTGATCATTCCCACTGGCTCCCACCATCACATGCAACGGAACCAAATGCTCGTCAGTTGGATGAGCTTTCCTTAATAATGGATGGTTTATTAGCCCAATCGCTTTCTCTTCCCGTTCCTTGCCACTATACTTGGTTACATATTCTCCAGCATCTTTGTCAAAAGTTTCGGTGTAAAATTGTGTTTCACTAGCTCCAACGAATAAATCACGGAGATTGTGAACCAATGAACCAGAACCTATTAGTAAGACACCCTCGTCTCTGTAAAGAACGAAAGATAGAGATAATGAATATCATTAAGTAGACTAAAATAATTACTTATCAAATTATATTATTTCCTTCTGACGTGTAGTAGGTTACCTTAATGGAGCTAATGCTTGACCAACCTTTATATGATATTCATAAGACGCACGACTAGTAAGGGACACTTGAATAATAGGTATGTCTTTCGGTTCCGGAATCGCAACTTTCAAGGGCACCCATAGACCATGGTCGAAACCTCGTCTCGTATTAATTGTAGCTTGGAACTATGAATTATGTTTGGGAATCTATTTTGGTATACTTTTATAATTGAAATAAACGATGATTGAAAAAAAAAACTACCGGAGACAGTAAATTCACAATCCTTTCGGCCAACTTTGGCGATCCTTTGCCGTGATATTTTTGTCGATACAATTCTTCCGAAAACCCGCCGAAATCATAAATTATTGGAGTTTCACCTTCGAAGCATCCAACTGTATATGGGAAAATTGGTCAACGTATAGAAGTACTCTTCGTATATTGAGCCATTTTAAATACATACCATTAATACCTCCTGAAGTTTGCCAATGAGCTGATATGACCACAACAGCTTTTGGTTTAATCTCCTCTAAAATTCTGTTGCCCCATTTTTTAAAGAATTTATGAGCTTCTCCATCATAATCAATCACTAATGTTGGACCTGTTGAATGCAAAGCAAGGTCAGACAAAGAAATACGTCATCAAACCCTAAATGAATTATTCACCTCCGTGAGAAATATAGAAACAAGGCAATCTATTATAAGTCATTTTGTACGAAATATGAAATATTGAATGAATAAATGTTTGCATTCTTGTTCAAATGGTCTGTTTATATATATTAAAAAAAAAACTATATTTGTAATCCAAAAAATCTAATTATAAATATTATAAATCACAACTAATGCAATACTAGTTCATTGATTAATAACCGTTTTAATACATTAATAATATTTAACGTTTCGTATTATATATTTGTTAATTATTAAATTATAACTAGGTAATAGCTTATATTAATAAATTTGGAATATTATTTTTGTTCAACATAATATAAAAATCATTCTTATTAAACTATATGTATTTTATAAATACTTTATTTTATATTAACTAATAATTTTTATTTCTAATTTATTTTGTTATTTATAAAAACAATTAAATTATAACTTCGTATTATCTAAAAATTTTTGGATTAAATTAAAATTTTTTTATAATATATAAAAATATATTTTTTAACAAATATAATTTTTGTAAGGGCAACAAAATCAATTGAAGATTATTAATAGAAGATATATATTTTTTTAATTATAGAACTATTTTATAATATATTATTTATATTAACTATTTCCATACTAGTTGTTACAATAAATTTATTTTTTTTTTTATTTAACCCTTTATCAGGCTAGTTATGTGTGTTTTATTAAACAATTGTAAGCTATACATTATATATATATCACTAAAGCAAAATCTCTAACTCACTCATCAAAGTCTTATATTTATCTAGAACTCTAAGTGCAACTTCGGAAGTGATTTATCACTTCATTAGTAGTTTGGATAGAAATCTTTTTAACTTCTAATATCATTGCCACAGGACACTGCTACAGATCACTATATGAGATTCTGATGAGGATTAAAACTCAACCATTTCATTTCATATTTAATCCCATTTCTTATAATTTCTACAAGGTTTTTGTTTTAATTCTCATTCTCTTCTTCTTTTTGCCTTGTACTTTTGTGATTGGGATTATCTTGTGAATCTTGCCTTCTTACTTCCTGAACCTTCTTGTATTTTGCTCTTTTATCAATTTTTTATTCTTGTTCCCACTCAATGATCTTTTCATATCTCATATTCCATACTTGTTTCCGGATCTGGTTGTAAATCTTCTTTTGTACTTTTAGAATATATTTTTTTGCCATTGTTCTTAACATCTTTTTATGACAGTTTAGATTAGTAGCTTTTTTGATTGCATTACCTTCTACTAATTCTACACAAAAGTTAAAAGTGCTCAAATTAATTTGTGAGATTGATTCTATTAGTCTAAAGGCCTATTAATCTATTTCACCTTTTTCTCTTTTATTGTCAACTACTAGTTATATCATTTTTTATCTGCTTCTCTCTTACATTCTTGATACAACTTGTCAAATTTTTTAAGGAAAATCTTGGATTCTTTTTGCCATGCCGCTAGAATCTCAATATTATGACCAGAGCATTCTAATAAATGTTCTATTGTCTCTTAATGCTGGTTGTATACTATATATCTTGCTTGCTTGTATAAATTTAATCTTTTTATTATTAGTTTGCTTAAAGTAGATAGTTTATTATTGATCAATTTAACTAGAAAGCTTCTTCTCTGTGAGCTTTTGAAAGAGATATTCCATATATTTCTATTCTTTAATCTTTCACATATCAGATCCCATAAGTAGGTTTGATGCTTGTGAACTTAGTAATGCCATTTTATCTCTGTTTTATATTGTTGTGTCCATAATAGAGCTATTGATCTTTTATTAATTTGTTTAATGAACTGTTGTATTGAACTATCTACCATTTCTTCTTGCTATATAGTTTCTATAGATATCTTGCATAATTTGAGACTCTTTTATTCTATTGCTAGTAGCCTTAAAGCCTCTTTGACTAGTTGGTCTGCTTCTTTATTTCATGGATTATTAGAGTGGAATTTAATCTTAATCAATGTTAGTTGAATATGTTTTTTCTTTATAAGATCTAGTATTCTTATCCATAATGACCAATTCTTTTCTTTTAATTATTTTTTTTATCATCTTCGGATCTTTTTTCTCTAGCTTTTTTCATTTAGAGATGCAGACTTGACTGTTTGTGAAGATCTCAACTGTACTGTCTATTAGAGCTATTAAAGCTATTATAACTAGTGCCACCAGTTCTACCCTTGTGAATGAGGGTCAGTTTTTGACTCTTGTCTGAAATTTACTTTTTTTTCCAGCTCCTTCTGTTTGTATCCATACTGCATCCATTTTTGCATTTTCATTTCCATGGTCGATTAAGGATCTGTTGAAGTAGAAGGTCAACTTCTCCTGTAATCCTTGATTGTGTTAAAGAATTTCAAGTATGTGATCTTGATATACTCCTTGCTTAACATTGTCTCTGAGTATTTCTTGTTCCCAATCTCCTATTAATACTTGTTCCATTT